CATAAAATTTGAAGGTGCGCCTTAATTGGATTGTTTAAGGTTACGTTATAGAAACCGCACCCTTATATAAAAGCTAATATTTATTTTAATGAATATAAAAATGCTAATCATCAAAGAACAATAGAATACATCGCGAATCTTAATCCCGAGCATCAATTTAATAGTTTCAAATAAAGAATCCGGTTATGCGAATGAGGGGAAAAAAGTATTATATCACTTTCAGATTACAAACACTGCTTATGTAAGAGAACTAGAACCGAAGGGCAGAGAGAGAAATAGGGCAATAAGGGCAAACCTGCTCAACCATCTTATGCTTGAGCACCTGTTCCTTGTCAACAACCTTAATGGCCACACAATCCCCTGTATCTACATTCCTCGCGAACTTCACCTTCGCAAAGCTGCCCTCCCCAAGGGTTCTCCCAAGCTCATATTTCCCCACGCGGGTTCGGGTACCAGGCAAACTCATCCTCCCCAACCCACCCTTCTAGCCCAGGAGACCAAAGCTCCTCTCCCCCTCTCTCTCGCACTCTAAGCGCCGGAGCTATGCGCTCAAGCTCTCAGGCCGCACCGGGCCCAGCGCCTTATGTAGCCACAGAGGGCGGCCAACGCCACCTCTGCCTCTGTCTCTCTGGTTATCTGGGCTAGGCCGAGGGGGGGCAGAGAGGAAGAGGGAGAGGAATTGGCATTGATGGCCGAGGTTTCGCCCGCTCACGCGTTTCGCGACCCCCCTGTCCCCCAGGTTGACCCTTATAAAGGCCGGCACGATTGCCTTTGGAACACTCTTTTCCTCTCCTACTTTACGTTTTACAAGCTTTTTGGAACACTCTTTTCCTCTCCTACTTTACGTTTTGCTTCCAAAACATGGGTCGTTATCAATTACGATGGCTAAGGCCTCCATTCATCCCTTATCTCCTTGTACTTTTTAGCTACCTCACCTTCGTTGTTTTCTCTTTTGACCACAGGATTCGCGCATTTGGGTTCAGAATACACATGCCTTGATTTTCTTTTTGAAAAAAGTTTATATAAGGTTGTAATTTTAAAATTAAAGGTGCACCTAACAAACCCATTAGAAAAGGTTGTTTTAATGTTCGGTATTGAGATATATAAACATAAAAAAATATAAAGATTTTAACTCCTAAAAATAGTGCATCTTGCAGCATATTATCTAGACCGCTCATTTTCAAGATTTTTATATATTTATAAATCTACTCAATGTTATCCATTCTCAAAGTTTAAAATTCTATAATTAAAGATGAAAATAGATCTTTAGATAATTCTGAGATAGTTTTACACTAGTTATGATAAAATTTGAAAGTGCGCCTTAGTTGGATTATTTAAGGTTGCAACCTTATAGAAACCACACTTTTTTCTTTTATTTGTCCACTTGTTATGTAGAGTTGAAATTTCTAGCCGCGTTGGATTGATCGATGGAGGAAGATGGACCAAGACTAGACCTATAAAAACAGGAATGAGTTCAAGGCAAGCTGGTAAGATGTTGGGTCGGCACATCATGATGTCTTGAGTTCGATTCCAATCGGATCTCCATTGAACGCCCAAAATAAAGACCCATGAAAACTTTACATATCCCTAATTTTAAGCGAAAATTATAGATCTAAAGTGGAAAGTTCTATTTACTGATGTTAGTTAAAGCGGAAATGTAGATAGAATGATCTGAAATGGATCTCCAAACCTAAATCCAACTCTACCATCCGTTTGTTTTATTTTTTTATTTTTTAATTAGAGATTTGGAATGTGAAGTGAATGTCATTGTACTGTAATATACTATGTGAAAGGTTTCTATACTTCCCCTATAGCATAGAAGATCTATGCTTCCCCTACCATCGAGTCGTCTAATTTTGATCAAGATAGCACTCATCGTATGATCTTAGATCCGACGTCTCAAAGTATTTTATTTTTAGTTTTTTTTATACAAATTGTATTAATATTAAATTTAGTACGTGCCATATTCTCATTGAGGCGCACCTATAAAAAATATTAAAATTATTTTTTTGACAAAATATAATGACCAAAATACCCCTTCAAACATTTAGGGGTATTTTGGTCATTTTATTTTATTGAAAATATTGTTTTTATATTTTTCGGTAGTACAATTTTAATAGAGGATTGGACGTCCAAAATTTGGTGTCAAAATAGTTTATGGAAATAAAAGTGTAAATACATGATATTGTGATTGGAGTAATCTTAGCCTTCCATTCAGAATGGATGGTTGGATAAGGCGAAATATATAAGTTTTACGTGGTAGGGAAAGTATAGAAAGCTTGCCATGTACTATTTCATCTCATTTGTTTTACTCTTCAAGTAGGAGGCGGCATAAGCCACATGGATAATGGATGACATCTGATTTTTGTCCTTTGTAAATTATGGCGCATTTGATCTTCGGAAGTGAAGTTGTAGCTTTTAGATCCTATAGCACTTCTAGGAAGTGCACTTCTAGAAGCTCCTACATCACTTCTAGGAAGTGCACTTTTAGGAAGTGTTGTGGTATTTTGTAAGGTTTAAAGAAAGGTTCAAAATATCAGTCTAGTCGGCAGTCTGGATTAGCAATCCAACATAGTGAATAGGCGAATAAAAACTTTAAAAAAATTAGGAAATAAAAAAAATTAAATTTTAAAAATTAAAATGGATTGGTTTTCTAACAAAACCGGCCGATTTTGTCAGTTGGTTTATGAGGAACCAGCCGATTCTCGATACTTGGCGGGATCTCGATCAGCCAGTTTCGATCCAAATCACCTATTTTTAAACACTTGGAATCTTAAAAGCCGCCTCTTCACGTAATTTCTAAAATGTGATGAAAAGGTTTTCTTGGCACGTTTGGTTTGCATGAAATTGTTTTTTAAAAATCATTTTCACATAAAAAATTCTCTCACGTGGTTACGTGTGGGAATATTTTCATACCAATTAGTCTTAATGCATCTTTTCATACCAATTGACAATTCATTCATGTAAAAGGTTCCCACACTTTAGATTTGTTTAAATTTTCTTTCATGAATTTGTTGTTCAAGGCAAGAGGATATATGCGACAAATTTAAAGAAGAGTGTGGTTTGTATAAGGCCGAGGCCCTAAAACATCAAAGTAAGGCGCTCATTCAAATAGTATCGAAAGATGTTTTATTACCAAAAATATTTGTGTTAGCTTGGAAGTTTATTTTCATATCTAGTTATAAAACTTAAAGCTTAAAAAATAGTGCAACTCGAGCAGTTCTATAAATACTTGAAAATATTGAAAATTGACAATCAAAAAATGTATTACATGATGTATTATTTCCAAAACTTGGAAATCTCGTACATCTTGAGTTTGAGATGATCAATTGAGGAGTTTTGGGTGTTGAAAAAACTTCTTCCAATCAATTTTTGCGGTGTGCCTTAATTTGATTGTTTAGGGCCTGGCCCTTATATAAATTTTCGCTTAAAAAATGTGCCTCGAGCCCCAATGGATCATTCAGTAGTCTTAGATTGACTTCTTTTCTCCAATTCAATGTTTCAAAAGTAAGATTGGTGGGCACTTATAAATCCGTATCGGATCATTGGATCGAAAATTTAGATTAAATCTGAACTTGTTTGAATCAGTGATCCGAACAATATTAAAAAATAAATGAAATAAAATAGTAATTAAAAATGGGGATTATGCGTTGGAGATATAGTAGGGACTTAAGAAAAAATTAGATAAACTTAAGAATATACATATATATATATATATATATATATATATATATATATATATGTGTGTGTGTGTGTGTGT